CCAGGAACGACGAGTGGCCTCATGAGCCTGCCATCGGTCAGATGGCCAAGGTCCTCTCTCAAGTCCCCTTAAGCCTTAGTTTTCCTTTGATTTTCATGACTTGGCACAGCAGGAAGTGACCATGGAAAATGGTTGCCTGTCCCCTTATTTAGAAGATGTGTCCCAGCAAGGCCATTATACCACTCTGCAGACACCCTCGATACCTCTGGGTCTTTGATGTTCCAGTAGACGTACCCAACGCTATATATGTATAATATACATAGTGCCACTGAGGAACATGCATGTTATTACACATTAAGTGCAATTTACAATGAGTGAATTTAAATTTTTTGAAGTATATTAATTTATTTTTTTTTTGCATTTCAGACATGAAACCCAATGTATTAAAAATATTAATACAGCAGTTTAATTAGGAATCTTTATGTAGGAACCGGGACACAATGCAATCAACGCATATAAATTGAGGGCATGGTCTGGTGCTTCCTGGCATGTAGAAATGTTTGAGACAAGATTATAAGCATGTTGCACTAACCATAAGTTCACAGTTGGATGCTTATTCAATAAAGTAGTTCTGTTTAGCTGTGGCAATTAAATTAGCACCGAAAATACTACCACGTCTCTCACACACCTTGCTATGCTCCTTCTCCTTCCAAATGTCATTAGTGACCTTTTCTGCAGCTCTTCACAATTATTTACATTTTTGAATAATTACTGACAATATATCTAGGATTTCTGTGTAAACCCGAACATGGGTAACACCTGTGGATCATATAACCAGCCATTTAAAGGAAGTAATTTCTTTGGCAGCTGTTAGCAATGGACACGGATCTTTCTTCTGTATTGCAATTCTTCTTAAGAAAGGTACCACTTACCTGACGAGTTATTTATAGCATTCCTAAAAACTCTAGGGAATGTATAGGAGGTGCTCTTTAGAAAATAAAAATAATACCTTTGCTTAAGAATGAACATAGGCATATCTACTAGAGAAGCAATGATTATTTTCATCTTCTGTGAGGTGGTGGCTTACATGAACCAAGACTTTTGTGGATGACATCTTCAGGGGACACACAGAGATCGCACACGTAGCAGTGAATTTAATGCCTCTACAAACAGTCTCTTAAGCAGATTTATAGTTTCTATAGATGTGTAGATTAAATCTACATGCAGTCCACAACCACTCCGTTTCCTGCCCTAATTTAACATGTGCTCAGGCAGAGGAGAGAGGAGACGAGGACAGGGGTTGGTGTTGCAGCCCTGACTGAGCCAGGATACTAAAGGATGCACCCTCCAGCCTGACTTACACCGCCTGGCTCTGCGGTGCCCAGGATCTGGCACCAGGATCTCCAGCAGTTCGTCCCTCCAGGGCTTGTGGTGGCAGCATCTCACCCCACGTCCCGCTGTGGGGAGCAGGGGCTGCACAACGGCTCCACCTTTACCCTCACGGATGAAAGGCAGGAAAAACTTTCTGCCACGACTCAGCTTTGATAAGAGAAACTACCAACTGTGGCTTCTGGCCAGGAGAGCGCAAGGGCAGGAGACATCTCGGTAAGGATGTTGCTGCTTTAGCAGCAATAGAGACCATCTCAGTTTTGGCTGCTTGAGAAAAGAACAGTGGAATAAACCTACCTCGCTGCCAATGGTTAATGATAACTCCCTCCCCTCGCAATGACCTTGCAGATTTGTTTGTAGGAAAATGCCTTTTGCCTCGAATTAAGATTGCACTAATCTAAAAGCAAAATCTGCTTAATTAAAAAAGGGCTAATCCATTCCCCGCTGGCTTCTCGCCCTTGTAGATGGAACCTCTTACCCTGGGTACACACCGTAACGCCTCATCTCCTGGGTTTAATGAATCAGCAAATCCATGCTTTATTTACAGGAAAGGGCTACATTCTTCTTCTTAAGTACCAGAAATTCTGGGAAAAGCCAGCGTAGGCAGTGCTAACCATCTGATCAATTAGGCCCATAGATGGCAGGATGGGACTGTCCAACAAACACTCCTCACGCGGGTGTTCTGGGAGGATCACGTACTTCATACGCTTACCCACAAAAAACAACACATTTGGATGATACAGAGTACTTAGCCATGAATAATTAGCAAATTGCCATTCATTATTAATTTATTGGAACCACTGCTTCTCCGTATTTTTCCCGCAAGGCTCAGTCTTTCTATTTTACAGCTGCTGAATTTATTATTAATAGCTAGACCTTAGACATGGCCAACAAGTCTGCACTTAGGGATACGATAAATTTTGTTCCGTTCCTGGGATCTGGCACGTTCATAACTCCCCAGACATGAGATTCTTCTGCAAACTGATCTGGCCATCTGTCCCAGGACAGAAGTGGCTCTGGGTGACCTTCTGCTGGGTCCGGCCTGACAGCAGCAGTGGGGTTGTCCTCTGGCCATGGGTGAAGGAGTCATACCCCAGAGAAGTTCTCCCCCTGCCTCATCCACCCGTCAGGTACAGCTCCATTAATCTGCCGTCTCCTTTGCTCAGCCCATGTCGCAGCCACACAAAGTCAGCTTTTACCTTGTCCTGACATCCCTTTACCCACTTTATGACTTTCTGTTAGCTCGAGGTTGCCTTTATGGATCACAGAAAGCCAGAGCCCTCTTGGTAGTAGAAGAAATAATCCTTTTGCTGGTGTCCTTGAGTTTTATATCTGCATGGGATGCAGACACCAATAATGGAGAATTAGCTCTGTCCTCGAGAAAGGCTCCCAGCTGTGCACAGCGACGATGGCATTTATATATTACACGGGGATGTGCAAAGAAAGAAAGTACAGATTCCCTAACTCTGCTATACACATTTTTCTAAAAAAAAAAAAAAGCCCACAAACCCAACCACCAGCAGACAGAAACAGCCAATTAGCAATTACTCGGCGATATTGGGCGAGGTGCCAACCCTGAACCGCGGAGGTGTGCAGGCATCCACGCGCAGGATTTGAAGCGCTCCTGCTGTAGCTGCGCCTCGTGACAGGGTTTTGATAACTCCCCCTGTGCCTTTGGGCTCCCGGCATGGCGTCGCACGGGAACGCAGCGGGGCGGGCGGCGGGGGCCCAAATCGCGGCCGTTACCGGCGGCCGTGCTAATGATGCTGTTGCAACCACTCCGCATCTCAGACTTTATTGCTCCAGTGCAATTAACAGTTTAAAACACACGCTGAAATAAGATGTCAATGTCTAATTTTTAACTTTTGTCAAGTTACATGATAATCAAATTATACTTAACCCTGTATTTGACTATCAAATGCTGCAACCAACCATTAACTGCTAACACTTCCCCCACACATACCTGAACCAGCGCATATGTTCCGCTATTATTGCCAACAAAATAAAATGCAAGTAGAGTTTCACAAGAGAAAATTCTCTCTGAAGCAGTAAGGAGTTCATACTTAGTAAGTTGCTACCCTGTGATTTTTTTTTTTTCTTTTTAAAGCGATACTCTTTCTAGATAACATTAATGCAAACTATGAGCAAGGAAAAAACTCCACCAAATGATCTTCATTCCCAACTGAGATCTAGATCACCACCTTTTGGAAACTTCTCCTTGTTTTGACTAGATTACAAAAATCATAGTATAAAATAAGACATTTCTTCTTGGTCTTTCAGTGAAACCTCTGAGCTAACGCCACCCCCATATTTCATTCCGTGCGGTCACGATCAGTTCCAGATTTCAGTATTTTCTCTCAGACTGTTCTGCTTCACACATCCCATGTCTTTCATGATGGAGGACATCTATTTTTATGATTTGTATCAATGTACTTGGTACTTACATGACATATTCAACCTCTGTGTCTCAAAGTGCTTTTTGATGGTGGCTACTTGGTTACCTCAACAATTTAAAGCTGATAAAATCCTCGCAGCAACTAAGAGACAGATTCAGCTCTGCTCTGTTCAAAATTAACCCAAACCTTAATTTTACCTTCTCTGAATTAAAAATACACCAAATACTATCTGCTTCTGCCATAATATTCCTTTGGTTTCACTTCTTGCATTTTCTGTTTAAAATAAGTGTAATGTTGTTTCCACTTTATTAATGATTTCTCAAATATTCAGTAAAATGGCAGCAAAGGCTTCATGCTATTTTCTGCTTATTACATCTCTTCTACAGTAATTTAGAATACCCTGATAATACATATATTACAGGAAGTATATTCGGAAGGAAGGCTGATGGCTAGAAAGCAATAACCCTAGGATTTAAGCAACTGGAAATCTACATTTCCACTCAATAAGGAATACCTTTACGTAAAGAAAAGTGTGTAGGATATATTCTAAGTTTTGTCTTTCAGTTTTATCACTATTAAAACAGATTAGCATGCAAGTTCAACGACGAACATCTCCGGGTGCCACTAACAGATGGCTAGATATTCAACAAATGGGAAATGCTACAAACGCACAGACAAAAATATCCTTCAAGCAGGACATTTGTGACCCATTTTAGGCAACCTTCGTGCTAAAAATCTCAATGCTTTGCTTTGCCTATTACAATGCTTATTGTCTTTTCCCAAAGACTTAACTTCAAGTCCCCCGCGACTTCTCTGCCCCAGAGGCCAACGACCGACACAGCGACCTGTGCGCGGGGCTCCGGCACCCCCCAGTTATTCAGCTCAGTGTACTCCTTGGTTTTAACTTTGTTTACGGCAGTGCCTTAGTGATCCGTTAGTGCTATTCTGGGCAAAAAGATTTGGTCATGCTAATTCTGTCTCTATACCATGACGGCGGGTTGGGTTTAGTTGTGGGGTTTTTTTTTTTTGTAGATTCATAACTCACTAATACCCCCAAAATGTGGCATCACTTTCAGAACAGAAACCTTTCTGCAGCACGGAATAAATACCCAGGTACATTATTTCCCAGTACTGAGGAACACAACGGTATTTGTATGCCTTGTGAAGAAACCAGGGGGGAAAAAGCAAACTAATTTTTTTTTTTTTTTGGCTTTTGAATCCATGTATGTGGAAACAACCAACCATGAACATTTGCCACATGTCCACGTTACTTACGGTTGAGAGGCAGGCTGGCATTGGTCGTCCCTAGCTTGTTGGCAGCGACACATGTATAGTTGCCAAAATGCTCTTCTGTCACATTGGTAACAGTAAGAAGTGATCTTGTACTATAATTTTTAATAGTAATTCCTTGTTGACCATTGATCAGTCTAGAAAGCAAAAAGAAAATTTCTGTAACTCATATACCATAAGCAATAAATTTCTTTTTTTTCTTTTTTTTTACAGACATAACCGGTAGCACACTAAGCTGTTTATGGGCTGCCGATGTAGCCATTCGAGCAAAATTCTCATAGCGGCAGATCAGCGAGGCTGTGGGAAACACTGGAGCTGTGGGGTGCTGAGGGGAACAGTTTCTGCCTGTGCGCCCTACAGTCGGAAGAAAATACAGACAGGCACGGCCCTGCCTGGCCACAGGACACGATATAAACTCTCAGATGGAGAGCTTATGTTTTAAATTGGGCAAAACTAACTGAAAAATTAAATACCCTATATTTGGGGCAGAAAAGTATGATGGTAAATCTTTCAGAGAGTGTTTTTTCAGACTCTGGAGATGGCTTTGGTCCTTACACACCTCCAGCTGATGGCAGATGAGGATTAGGTAGCCAGAAATGCGGCTCTGTAGGATTGTGACCCCAGTTTATTTTACAGACCTCTACAGCTATAAATTAAACTTGTAATTAGGAAAAATGTGCTCCAGCAGCACTGCATCCCAAGGCAGCAACCTGAACAGAAAGCAGGCAACAAGGTGCAGGACAGAGCCAAACCACGTCTCTTTTCACCCAGCTTGGCTTCACTGGCTTTGAGCTTCCCACCCCAAATCTCATGGGAACTGTGCAGGTCTTCTGACGCTGCTTCCAAAGCCACGTCAGAACCACCACTGCTGCACTGGGGCAAAGAAAGATGACCAACTAAAATGTAGGCAAACCGCATCTGATCAAACAGCAAGATGAGAAGGGTAACCGTGTTATTAAAATACTACCTACAGTTGATTACTCTTAATTCCTTACATTTCACATAAAGAGCAGAGTTCTGGATTAAGTAGACAATTTCTGTTTGATATATTGAAAGATATAATCATATAACCTGGGAATGAATGCAATCTTTTAGCATTTTGTCTAAAAACATCTCAAGTCTGTCATTAATTGCACTTCTGCATATTATGGATTGAATACATCTCATCATTACTTTAGTGGCTCTGTTCCCATTTAACTATATGCTGCTGCACACAGAGGGGGTTTCTCCCCCCTGTGCAGTTTGTGCTCTCAGTGGAGTCACTGTGAAGGACTTTGGTCCGCTCTGTGCAGACCACCGGTGAGGGGAGGACATAGCACACCCCATGGATACATGGGGTTTTGCAAGAAATGCAAAAGAATGGATTGAAATGCCTGGTTTGGCGTGAACACTGCAGTTATAACATTCACCTTCCCTCCAGACTTGTGAAAGGCAGAAGTTTGCCCTTTCAACCTATGCATGTGCTTCTCTACGTGGATGTCCTTCTAAAACTGCCAATGTCTGTCCATCCTCTTTCTGCCTCTCCTGCAGAACAACCCAGGAGACTCTCTCGCCCCAAATGCTCCCGTGCCAGCACGCCGCGGCTCGTAGCTGGTGACAGCGTGTCGGCACCCTGCACATGGTGCTCGGGGAGGCAGAGCAGGCGGGCGCTCAGCAGCACCCCAGGTACTCACTCCAGCCCCAGGTCAGAGGCTTTTCTTGGGATGCCCTTTCCCCAGAAGAAGGCACGAGCTGCAGCCATGGCCACCACCGCTTCCTGCTGCCTTTTGGGGTTTGAACACCCCCAATCCCTTCTCCCAGGGGAATGGAGCGATAGCTCCACTTCCACCTGCAGCTTATTCCTACCAGCTGTTTCCAAGCCACCTCCATCCACCCTCTTGGCCCAAAACTGCTGTTTGAACTACGGCATCTCTGTTCTACAGCTGTAAGGCTTAACTCATGGAATTCCTTGGTTTAACTCAAAGAATTGGGTGAATGACCATACTCAAAGAGTTGTGGTCAACAGCTTAATGTCCAAGTGGTGACGAGCGATGAGTGGCATTCTTTAGGGTTGGTACTGGGACCGGTGCTGTTTAACATCTTTGTCAGCAACATGGACAGCGGAATTGAGTGCACCCTCAGCAAGTTTGCCGATGACACCAAGCTGTGTGGAGCAGTCTACACGCCGGAGGGTAGGGATGTCATCCAGAGGGACCTGGACAGGCTGAAGAGGTGGGCGCATGCAAACCTCGTGAAGTTCAACAAGGCCAAGTGCAAGGTCCTACATCTGGGTCAGGGCAATCCCAAGCACAAATAGAGGCTGGGCGGGGAATGGATGGAAAGCAGCCCTGAGAAGAAGGACTTGGGGGGGTCAGTGGATGAGAAGCTCACCATGACCCGGCAACGTGTGCTGGCAGCCCAGAAAGCCCCCGGCATCCCGGGCTGCACCCCCAGCAGCGTGGACAGCAGGGCGAGGGGGGACTGTGCCCCTCTGCTGCGCTCTGCTCTGGGGAGACCCCCCTGCAGTGCTGCCTCCAGCTCGGGGGGTCCCACCAGCAGAAGGAGACGGAGCTGTTGGAGCGGGGCCAGAGGAGGCCCCGGAGATGCTGGGAGGGCTGGAGCCCCTCTGCTGGGAGGACAGGCTGGGAGAGTTGGGGGGTTCAGCCTGGAGAGGAGAAGGCCAAAAAGGGGAGACCTCAGAGCCCCTTCCAGTGCCTAAAGGGGCTCCGGGAGAGCTGGGGAGGGACTCTGGGTCAGGGAGGGGAGTGATAGGATGAGGGGGAATGGTTTTAAGCTTAAAGAGGGGAGATTTAATTGAGATATGAGGAAGCAATTCTCTCCTGTGCGGGTGGTGAGCCCCTGGGGCAGGTTGCCCCGAGAAGCTGTGGCTGCCCCATCCCTGGAGGTGTTCAAGGCCAGGTTGGACGGGGCTTGGAGCAACCTGGGTTGGTGGGAGGTGTCCCTGCCCAGGGCAGCAGGATGACACTGGATAGTCTTTAAGGTCCCTTCCAACTCTAACCGTTCTATGATTTTTTTGTTCAGAAAACAACGGGTGTCGGGATTTCTGCCATCCCCATGCCTCCACCAGTGCTGCAGCAAAGCAGCAGCAGAGAGACAGTGTCACCTCCCCTCCATGTCCCTGCTGCGGGAAGTGGCTGACACTGGGGGGCTAGAACTGGAAGTGGAGCAAATGGAATCAGAGAGATATGCATATCAATAAGCCGCATAATTAACGGACTGAGGAGTCGGCATTAGTTAGCATAAACTCAGCAGTTTTGAGGATTTCCATTCGCAGTTGTAAGAACCAGATGCTTTTACTTTTAAATTAATTACTCCCGTGCCCTGCTCTGCCTGGCTTATTGACTGAACACAGCATTTATTACTTGTCTGGGTTTTACCAAGTTACTTCTCAGGCTGGAACAGCATTTTAAGTTGTGTGCAGCCACCCTACACGTTTCTTCCCCTTGCTGCTTTGTACCAGTCGCTGCAAAGGGAAGAGCGATCTCCTTTTTATTCCGGAGATTACGCCTCCGCATCCAAAGAAAATCATGCATCAGTGCCAGCCCCGAGGGGTACCTGCCTATGAGGTTTCATATCTGAATACCTTCACGTTATTATAATATATTAAGCCACTATAATGAGTTTTGTTATTTCAAATGTAAGCCTTGTTTGCTTTGTCAAGGATGAGGGAATTTATATTTTTAGATAGGTGACTTTTGGGCTTCGTCCCTGTGGCTGTTTAACATCTGAGATCTAATTTCTGCGTAACCCAACATAACATACTTGAACAGTTCTGAGTTTCAGAAAGTGGGAGTCAGCACAGTGAAGCCATTCTCCTCTCCGCAGGGAATCTTTGTACAGCTTTAGAAGTCACACAATTTTAATTTTAAGATGCTTTTACTAACTTTTGCCCCAAATTTCTAGTCCCTTCTCAGCTCACCGCCCCCTCCCTGACTGGAGGTACCCTCCGCTGGGGGGTCCGTGCAGCCGCCTGACAGCTCCGGTGTGGGGTTGAAGGCTCCATTTTCGATGGATTAAAGAGCAAAACGCGCCCGTGGGACCTCTCCCGGCCTTGCCCCCGCTGCGAGAGAAGTGTGGAGGGGTCCCACCAGGCCGGGGAAGGCGCCCAGCCTCCCGCGGGCTGCAGCTCTCGGGGCTCTGGGCTCCGCAGGGCGCGCTGGGCCGGGGGGGACATGGCACAGCACGCCTCTGCGCCAGCGCTCACGGGAGGTAACCAACAGCAGCTCTTGAGAGCGCGGTGATTAGGCAGAATTAGCCCGGCAATCGCCATGAAGACCAGCAGTTTTAACTGGGAGTAGTCTGCCACTGCTTTTACACTGCTTTTACGGCTGTTTTATGGTGGGGTGATCCCTCGGAGTCTGGAAACTGTGGGTTTGGATTTACATTAATCTAAGTAACAACAATATATTTTACAGGGTGAAAAGGCTCCTTTCAGACACTGAACATACACTCAGCGTTTCAGATCTGACTCCCTGTCCTAGTTTGAGGTAAAACAGGCCCAATTTTGTTCAGTAACTGTGCTTCTCAGCTAGGCCTCTTCTAGGCCCCCCTCTCTCTTTGAAGGCCTCTCTCTTTGAAGAGCAGTAGAGGGCAGCATCTGTCGGTCCCATCTGGGGTCCTCCAGGTCCCCCGATTTGGCCTAAACCACGACACTCCCACCGTTCATTTATTCAACAAGATCTACCAAAAATAATAATAATAATAAAAAAAAAAGTCCTGATCCAAGACTAACCGATGAAAATGGGATTTTCCCTATTCTGTTAGCAGGAAATATAGCAGGGTGTGCAGTCCCAGTATATAAATTTAGTCTTGTACTGTATCTGCAAATTACCTGCAGGATAATGCGCATGCTACTCTGAACTACCTACGAAAGCCGACTCTTCTCAGTTTCACATTAAAACAACAACTGAGCTGTCCAAGGCTCACTCTGTGCTTTCCATCATCCAGAGGTAAAAGGGTAATACCAGAGGAAAAAATACACGTGTATCTCCTTTCCCCTTTCCTGCAAGGGCTGGGGGCTCAGAGATCCCCACGACCTTTGCAGTCATATGTTGAGCATATCTGTCGACAACAGTTTAAAAAAAAAGGATGGACCATTAGATTTAACATAATATTTGAGCGGTAAGACACAATGGGACGGTGCGTTTCTTGCTGATTATAGCAAGCCTCAGGTGATGCACCATCTGAAACAGAAAACAGAAGGCACAACTTTGGTGTCTGAAAGGCTCTGCTTCATCTTTCCTGATGCTGCTCATGAAGAAAGGAATCGGTCAACGTTCTAAATAGAAAGGTGATTATCACACTGGAAATGGCTAATTGAATCCAGAGTGCTAAAACCTGTGCTGCAATATCTACATAAAATATGTTTCTGCTGCAACTCCCCCCAACACGTGTATATGGATCCATATATTATGGATCTTTGGAAGTAGGATGCAAATTAATTTCTCCAACAGAAGAAAAACATTTGCTGTTATATATAGCAAAGATTGATTATATTGTTTTAAAGAATGCTTCAGGATATGGTCAAAGTGCAATAGTTCGGACTGCTCTGAAAACTCACGCAGAAAGACGAGCAGCTAATGCTCCTAAAGGGGAGCAGCTGCCCAGAGAGGAAGGAGCTGACAGATGGCTTTCTACAAAAAACGGTCATTAATATTCTCATGTCAACTCCCAGGTTTAACGGTACGTTCAAGCTGAGAAACCCAGCACTGGGAAGCCAGGAAATTCCAGAAGCTAGAAGGTGCGTATGAACAGTTGCTTACAAGGGACAGCATCCACTCGCTTTTGCATCAATATGTAAACTCAGCTTATCTAAGAGCTTGTTTCTGTCAAGAGCTGCAAAACAAAATTTCCTATTAAAAAAAAATAAATCTACTTTTTCAACGAGCTGCTTTTAAAATAAAGATGACCCTACAGAGATGGCTGCTGTCATTACATAGCACTAATGACCTGAAAGTGAATCTGACTCTAAACAAACCCAAAGCGCTCAGTCAGTTTTTAGGGTTTGAGCAGAGCGCACACCCCTGACCCCTCTTGGATGCTGTGATGTGCAGCAGCTCTACCTGAGCCTGCGCACTACAAACCTGGGGTCAAGACTGCTAATGGCACAACGAGGTGAAAATTCATACACATTAAGCTTCGGTTGAAAGTCTTGTTCATGAACCAACCTTCCCACCCCAACACCCTTAGCGGGAAAACCTATGAAGATGAATTAAAAAAAAAAAAAAGAAAAATATCCTTTTAGTCGACTTTTTCAGTGCTTTTCTGGTTATTATACTTAAAAGGCTGTAATTACTAAAGCAATTTTTAATGTTAGGCTCATTATTGCAATTATCACTATCACAGTCCAGCCGCAGCCGGCCTGACTACACCTCGTTTTTGAGCACAGAAACTACAACGGCAAGGAAACCGAGAAACTCCCCCCCAAAAGCCACACAGCGTGGCTGCTGGTAGCCAACACCGCCAAGCACCCGCCGCCCGAAGCTCAGCGCTGGTTTCAGGAGAGCCTGCAGAACTCATCATCACCGGGGACAAAGCCAGCCCGGCGGTGCCCTCTCTCTTCCACCCGGGTCCCCGCGGGCGGGCAGCATCCCCGGCAGCATGAGGGGGTCGGCGAGCGCCGGCTACTTACTTCCTCTCTCCTTTGTACCACTCAAAGACCGGGGCAGGAACTCCTGCACCTTCGCACCGTATCAGGCCGTTCCCTCCAAGCATCACACCGCTGGATTTAAGTTCCTGAATTGTGGGGGCAACTGGAAAAAAAAGAAGTGTAAAAACGGACATTTGCATCTAGATAGGCAGATTGTTTAACGCCACTTTCTCTTCGGCACGCTCTACGTTACTCTCAGCCTGGCGCGTGTTTTCCAGCTTGGTTCACATTCAACCACGTTTTCTTCCAGCAGTGTAAAAATTATCCCACACAGCAGATTCTGATATATATTCTGTATATTTGGTGTAAAAAAAACACAACTGAGACATGAAGAAACACCAATCCCATACTCAAAAAAAGCTGTTTTTCCAACTCAGTTATTCAACATAAACTATTTGTAAGTGTTAGTGTCATACAAGATGTGTTTAAAACCTGAGAATGGGAAAAAAGCAGATGGAGCCCCAAGGCTGCATGCCTGCGGGGTCCCACTGGGCTCGGCTCCGTGATTCCATGATTCCGTGACCCCCCGGCTGGGGAGGGCTACGGCAGCGCCCCGGGACAGGGACCAAAGCAAGGGCATGGCCAGCACCACTCATCTCCTGCGTCATGTCTTCTGCAAGCGCCCCATAAACCGCATAGGCTTAGATGGCCTTTGAGATGTTGCTTTGCATACCTAAAGAACAAACTTACCTTCGCAATTATGAGCCCACTGCAAATGCCACATAACGGCACAACTTTTCTAGTATTGCACTGGATATAGATTTGTTTCAGTAAATATATTTTTACTTTTTAAATTGTAAACATCATAAATAGCAATGAACATTGTAAGCGCAGAACTGCAGGTACAAATAAAGATAAAAAAGTGATTGTCAGTTTTTCCAGTTGCCAGCGAAAGGCAACCGTAAGCTGAAAATGAAACACAGCAGATTCCTCGGGAAAGAGATTATCAAAGGAAAGGCTGAAAAACAATTGCATTCTCCCCGGAATTTCTTTTACATTTTCTGTTTTTAAACAATAATTTATGTGCATCATAAAACCACTATAAAAACCAAAACACAGAACTTATAAATAAAAATCTGTTTATTTTTTCCCAAGCAGTTTTCCAGATGTTGCTTTAAGGTGTTTATGTGCCTGTAAAACGCTGACTGCCTCTCGTCTGCTTCTTTCACCATCTCACCCATAAGAGACCATAAGCTTTTATGGGAACTCACCACACTAAAGAAGCATCGGATCTATGGAAGAGCAGAGTGCCGGCCAGATTCCCCCCGCACGGGCGGATCACCTCCATGCCACACCTGATGGGACACCCGTCCTTCACCAACACCATCAGCGGCTGCTTTTCCAGCTGCACAGGACATCGCGCGGGAATGCAGCTGTCACAGCCCGGGGAGAGCAAACGCCCGCTCTTACCCCCAATGCACAAGTCTCAATGTTTAACAAAACCATGTGAGGACGTTTGGGGGGGGGATTGAACAGAGAATTGGTTCCCTCCTGCCCATTGCTCACGTTCTCCCTCGTGTCAGGCAGACAGACAGAATACAATTTGCCGCAGCCGGCAAACATCCCCTCTGCCTTCAGTGTTCTCTTCCCAATGATTACATCGAACCAAGCCATAAATTCTTTAACTTTCAACCGGTCACATTAAAATTTCAAGTGGATAATAAACATATAAACAATTAACATGACTACTTGTCCATTGTCTGCATGGGGGGGGGACGACGGGAAATAATCAGATTTTTTGTGTTACTCCATAAAAATCACAGGGACATACAAAGCTTACTCCTTCCTGAGAAATGAAGCTGTTTGTGCAGCAAAGACTTCAAAAAAATAACTTTGAGTGAGACTACTGAGCATGAAGAGCTGTGAACCGGTCACATTTTGCCTCTGCTTCTACAGCAATGTGCAGCACCAGCAGCTGCTGAGAGCACCACACAGCTCACGGCACAGCTTGTGCTTCTGAAGCGTTCAAAAGAATAACACTAAAAATTGTGCAAGACGAACCACACAAAAGCATCACCTGGATGATGGAAGAAAATGAACATCTACTGCGTGGGCACGCAGTCAAGGGAGGTTGCTGAAAGGTGGATGATGATGGGGAGGAGGTCTACCTCTCACACAGGGTTTCCACCCGCCCTGGGACTGGGGACCGCCTGCCAGCGTTCCCACTGCTTCCCTCAAGTTGTAGAAAAGATGTGAACGCTGCAACAGAACCCCGAGGATGTTTCTCCACCCTTAGTTCATATGTGAGCATGGCTGAGGAGCACCACCCTGAGCAGGCCGGTCCAGGCACCGACCCCAGCCCCCTGGCGTTCCGAGAAATACCAGCACGCTTCCCCTTTCACCCATGCCAGTCTGACATTGTGGTTCTGGATTGCTGGGGGACCTGGTCCACCTGCCTGGGGCCCCCCCCACAGGTGGTCCCGATGGACACCTCCATCCTGAGGTTTCAAAGCTCCAGGGAGACCCACAGCCTGCCCGGACCACAACGCATGGGCACTTATCCGCACAGTTACAGGTACGCACCTTGCTGCAGTTTTAAACTCCTGCTTATTTTGTCCCTGGTGACATGAAGAGCAGGACTACATTTCTCTTTGAAGAAAACTTTTACCCATTTAAAGACTCGCGCGCTCATTCTCCTAGTCCTCATTTACCTAAACAAACTCAGCCTAAAAGTAACTCAGTTCTACCTCCCATTTCAGATGTCACATTTCCCAAAAAACAGGCTTGATTTTAGAGGTGCCTGGAAGCCCTCCAGTCCACCCGCACTTTGCCCGAGTGTGCTCCACGCGGGATGCAGTCCTACCAGGGAGATGCTGCCAAGTGGAAGAGGGAGGTTGCTCCGCACAGTCTGCACATGATGCTTTCCTACATGTGATGACACCTGCCATTGCTGACCTAATGCGGCACTTCTTACCCCACTTCCCTTTTGGGATTTCCATGCCATGAGCCCAATCGTCCATCTTACATTTGTGCAAGTCCTCACCCACATGCGGATGCCACCCCACGCTTCTCCTTTACTGGTCACCTTTCATTTTTGTCACAGCTCTCCTGTGTGTTGAGACAATCTCCAGCCATGCCTGCTCCACAGGACTGTCCCCGAGCAGTGCCGGGACACCTGCCCTAGAGGGGATGGAGATTTGCCGCACCTGGAATGAACTCAACACGGCAGGCATGAGCAGATATTATCTATTTCTGGGGACATCGGAGAGAAATTCTGGGAGAGGAGCCGGGATAACGCACTGAACCTATACATTGGCTGAGCTTTCACAAACTCAAAGTTGAGTTGAAGCTATTGACATCTTATGTATCTCCATCACCATGCAAAGATGCTGGGAAGCTTTTCAGTGACCGGGGGTTATGTCTTTCCAGTGCTGAAAGGCGCTGGGAAGATCTATCGTGATCGTGGATTTGGTCCTGTGCAAGAGAAGAGCTGTGACCACCCCGCAGGTTCAACAAGTCCTTAAATAGCGGGAAACAGTACTTTATCCGGCCCTTTTTCACACCATCATGTGGTGGCTCCTTGGAAAGCTCTGCAGCGAGAGGCAAGCATTTTTCTGCATTGTACAAAGGGAATGGAAATATTTGGGTTTTTTCTAATTTAGCGTGGGTAGGATGATTAGCAAAAAAGCTGAGTTTGAAATGAACGTACCACACTGTGTGGACACTACACAGATGATATTTAGTTCTCATGAGTTAAGCAGAAAGAGCAAATACAAAACCAGCAAAGGCCTGAGTCCTGTAGAAAGTTTTTTTTCCCAAAAAGTACCACCTTCATGCTTCTCAACGTGCCCTGCCCACCTTTTGCTTGGTGTTTTGCGGGTTTTGGGGGAATTTTTGTTGTTGTTGTTTGTTTTTTAAATAAATGCACATCACCACTAATAAATTTTAAAATTAAACAATCCATAAGAAGGTACAGCTTGCCGATGCTTTTTCAGGCAGGAGCCCCAGACACCGCGTTCCCGGCGCAGCTGGGAAGGAGATGCCGGCTGGATCCCACCTACAAATCACAAATCCGGGCTTTGCTGTCCGGGAAGGCAGAGTTTTGTTTGGAAAATACTGAAAAACTTCTGAAATGAGGTTTTCTTAGATCTCCCTCGCAGAAGGATTTCGGCCTCTCTTTGTTCAGAATAAAAATAAAAATCAATATTGTCTGCTCTAGGAAATCCCCGGTTAATGCTGGTATGGAAACACAAACCAGAGATAGCTTAGAGTCGCCATTCTCTTGGATTTTTCATTGTCAGGTTGTTTTCTTGGTTTGAGCATAGAGAAACTCTGTGACACAGGCACATTTCTGGCGCACTGATTAGTAATGTGCTGAGCCAAAAATCCATCAGACCCTACTGCTGCCACCGGTGTGGAAGACGGAGTAACTCCAGATGGAATTACACACCTAAATACCCGCTGCTGCTGGTTGCCAAGGTTTGCTTTGGAAAGGAAAGAGAAAAACACATGGGAAGAGATGCTTGGGCCTCCACTACTTCATTTTTATTTTTTTTTTTAATATTTTTCCATGTAGTCAGCACAGACTCATTTTTGAGAAGACATTCATGTCTCACGCTGCAGTTGTCTGCATTGTCATGCTGCTGGCGCTGCACGTGTCTTCTATGTAAAAGATTTTGAGGTTATAATAATCACAAGGAATACTCTGTTGATCTAAATACATATAATTTAGCAAGAGGAAAGCTCATACATTATGTTAACAAGCGCTCACAAGCTTCAATTCAACTCTGCTGTCAGTTACCCACTATACATTGGGTTTTTGGTGAACGCTCCTGCCCACAGCGGAGCTGCCCAGTGCCATGAGGTGTGTGGGATCAGCCAAACCACTGGGGAGGAGAGAGGGATGGAGGCTGACAACACCCCGCCTCCAGCCGGGGCTGGCGGGCAGGACTTTGGGAGAGCTTATACCAAACATACACAAATTAACACCATTTTTCCTCCCAGGTAGCACGGCAAGAATTCCCCAAACACGTGCGGTGATGGTTCCCCCACCCCCTTCCTCCCCCTGTGAAGGGTCTCCGCGTTTCGCAGCGCTGATGACCCCCACCTCATCACCTCCGCCTCGTTAGGTCTTTCTCCAGCTCTTTACAGCTTGTTTTATTT